TTGTGACTACTAGTCGTAATAATTTCACCAACTATTGTTTTTTGAGATGTATTAAATTTATCCATTCTAAATACAGTGTGTTTCACTCAAATGGTAACACGAAATATTTTCGTTCGGTGACCTTGGATTGAATTGGGGTTTATTCGAGGAGCTATGGAATACTCAAATACACATTTTGTGATCATTTTCGAATTTTTAATTCTTTTATTGTGCGCATGCGCAATAAAACTTGCATTTTTTTTAAATGGAAACACCTATTATCAACACCATATTTCGATAGAACTATTTTTTTTAAGCAACTTTGATACACAAACTTTTTTCCTATCTCAAAAATTGACTGAACTACAGCAACCCTAAGTTTAAACAAAAAAAATTGTTGCTAAATTCTCAATGTTCTGTATTTTGTCATTTTATTATTATTTTTGGTTGGAAGCAAGATAAATGGAAGGGCAGGCGTTTATAGGTTATTTAAATAAAGTTTTTTTTTTTTAAAGTTAAACATTTTATTTTTATAATTAAGTTTAAATTGAATTACTTATTTTTAAACATATTATTACAAATAATACAAATCACCTTATAAATTGTTCAAAGTTTTCCCCGTTGTTAAGTAAACATGATTGTAAGCGGCGCTTGACTTCGTTTTGAGAAGCTGCCGTTATTTGTTCCTTGGTCAGTCTTGTGCATTCTTCGGTGATATTTTATTTTAAAAGCCGAAGGTTAATTGGTGGGTCAGCATAAACTACAGTTTTTAAATGACCCCAAAGAAAAAAATCAAGTGGTGTCAAATCCGGTGAACGCGCTGGCCAAGCTATCGATCCATTTGTTCCCATCCAATTATTTCCAAAATTATCGTCAAGGTATTGTCTAACAACAATACCATTATGTGCCGGAGCACCATCTTGTTTAAAAAACAAGTTTTCCCGAATATTTAAAGGAACATTTTCCAACATTGGTGGTAAATGGTTAGAGAGAAAATCCAAATATCTTCTTCCATTTAAGGTTCGGTCATAAAAGTAGGGCCCTATTATGGAACCTCCTAATATTCCACACCACACATTGGTTCCCCACACTGTTTGGAAATTTGTTTCAATTGCCCAATGTGGATTATTACTTGCCCAAAAACGGTTATTTTGTTTATCTATCACGCCATTATTGGTAAATTTACTTTCATCGGTCCAAAGATCATACTTTAAAAATTGAGGATTATCTTCAATTTTTACCAGTACCCATGCAATAAATAATAATCTACGTTCACTATCTCTCGCTCGAAGATGGTGAACTAAATCCGGTTTATAAGGACGAAGTTTAATTTTTTTTTAAATTGAATGTACCTTGAGTGGGTTAATTCCAACTTAATTTCCAATATGACGTATGGATAATCGTGGGTTAATTTGAACATACGCCAATACTTGTGTTTCAGTTTCTTCGTTAACTTCAGCCTGTACTTGTGGTATTTGACGACGATTACCTCTACTTCCAAATGAACCATAAGTTCGGATTTGATTTTCGAGCCTTAAAAAATAATTATGCGCCGGTTGATATCTATTGGGATATCTTTCGGCGTATAATTGTGCAGCTTGGCGAGAATTTCGATGGCACTCATTAAAAATTAATATCATATCCAATTTTTCACTATAGCCATTAGTGTATTATAAATATGCGGAAATATTAAAATAAAACAATAAAAAACCAGAATTCAATGCAAATGTATCCAATACAAACGTATTCTTGGTTTGAATAATCAAATTTTAATTATGAATTTATAACTTTCAGTGAAATAACTTAATAATCAAAAATAGGTAGGTAGTAGGTACCCATTTAATAAGATAAACGAAGGTAGGTAGTAGTGAACTACATAGTGTTATCAACTAGTCAGCTGATAAAGACGTTATAAATACAATTATTTTGTGCTATCTGATTCACAATACAATTAGAATTATTTTGAAATAATTAATTAAATTTATATTTAATTATAAAAATAAAATGTTTAACTTTATTTAAATAACCTATAAACGCCTGCCCTTCCATTTATCTTGCTTCCAACCAAAAATAATAATAAAATGACAAAATACAGAACATTGAAAATTTAGCAACAATTTTATGAGATAGGAAAAAAGTTTGTGTATCAAAGCTGCTTAAAAAAAATAGTTCTATCGAAATATGGTGTTAAAAATAGGTGTTTCCATTTAAAAAAATGTAAGCTTTATTGCGCATGCGCACAATAAAAGAATTAAAAATTCGAAAATGATCACAAAATGTGTATTTGAGTATTCCATAGCTCCTCGAATAAACCTCAATTCAATCCAAGGTCACCGAACGAAAATATTTAGTGTTACCATTTGAGTGAAACACGCTGTATATTAGCGACAGATTCATTTGTTAATTCTTTTAATTTGTTTTGTTCTTTATTCAATAACATGTTTAATCGTTGGATGGTTGAATTAAACCTTAGATTTATACAAATATTAATCATTGTACACCCTTAATATAATAATAATAATAATTTTACCTTTTATTTGACTTTTTGACCGTTTTTGTTCTTTTTAATATCTTACCTAGTAAATTAAGTCGTCTAGGAGTAAGAACTGAACCTACATAGTATGATTTATTGTTTTGAAATAATAAATTGCATTTTCCGCATCTCTTTTTCGAATCAGTTAGAATATAATTGCGCATTTGGTAATGCAACTCTGTGGATACGTATTGCCATTGAAATGATACATGTTCTAAAATGCATCGTATTTTATAGCGTTCTGAAATTCAGAGCATCAAATGCGCTGATGCATCGAACATCGTAGTTTCAATCATAACTAAAACCCGATTGTCTGATGGATATAAACTTAAAATCACTGATAAGGCCCATATATCACATAAATTTAACTGATAACGTTTATGTTTACAATTTCTATGTATCGATAACTCATACGAATTAATGAAGGTGTTCTGAAATAAAGCGATTTTTACCGATTTCAGATAAGCATACTGTATTTCCATCAAGAATTGCAGCTCTGCATTACCGAAGACGCAGTAACATTTATCATGGCGCCATATTGTACCTTCTAAGTGAGTGTTTTTCATGTGAATACCTAATTACAAATAGTTAAATATTACAAATCAATATAATATATGGGAGTAAAAAATAATTATATTATTTCCAAAATATTTTAAATATGCTTTGATACTTGGGCCCCCTTGACAAATAAGTTGATAATCAAATAATTGAACAGTATTGGCAATTTCCATCATGTCTAGTGGGTATGTTAACTGTTTTAGACATAACATTTTTGAGTCCTTGCGTTTTTGATTTACATAATAGCTGTCTAAACTGATTCATTAAAAAACAATTTGTTTTTCAATAATGGTTTGTTTCTCAATTGATGGTGATTTATTTAGTTTATACAACGATACCATACACACATCTTGGTATAATACCCATCCAACTGGCAATAACAATCCTTGAAAGATGAAAATAGGTCCTTCAATAAATCACATAAAATGTAGGTATAATATAAATAGCTGGTATAACTAATATTGGAAAGATTAAATTATTTAAATACATAAAATATTAAAAATAGATACTTTACAAGATTAGATCTAACTAAACATAATTAATAATAAACATACTTGTGAGGATACTGTTGTTCATAAAAGTTTAGACTGGGGTTCACCAAATAATTCTTTTCTAAAAGATTCACATGTGTAGCCCATGCAGATACCGTTATGTCACATGTGGCTTTTCCCGACGTAATAAAGGGAACATTAAAAATGTATGGAATTGCACCTTTTTTAATGCCATTTTTTTTTCTTTTGCCCATCACTTATAGGTAATTATAAACTGTGAGCAATGAAATTATCATTAAAAAAAAATTCTCAGAATAAATATTTAATGTTTTATATTATCTTATTAAGTCTTTTGTCTTTCTGGTCCACTGTAAGTTGTAATTAAATTTTCTTTAGTGAAATGTTCAGCACAAATTTAGGACACTTTATGTTTATTATAAGACCCATTTATTTTGGCAATAATTTCATTCCAAGAATGGAAATCAACAGCAGGAACTTTGAATAATTTAACATGTTTTTCTTTTAAAATGTTACAAGGAACCACAGAACATCGACCTGGCATTTTTAAAATGTATTTAAACTTAAAACTTTAAGAGTTTTTAAATAGTTAAAATACGAATTTGTACTTTTGTAGTAATCAATTTAGTAATAGAGTAGTACACCAGGTAGCAGTTACAGTCACCATTGTACCAAACCCAAACATTTGAGAGCCATACCACCACACTCCCTCCCACCAGTATATCGTTTCGAATCCTGTATATCTTAGTCCGAGCTAAGATATAATGGACTGGAAACGAGCAGCTTATCACGACTAGGCCACGTATGTACAAGAAGCAAAGTGCGCGGGGTCGCAATGTGTTCTTAGAGACTAGAGTTTACATTGCCTCTGTATAAAACACGGACTGAGATACAAATTGAGAAGCCAAATAAAACCACCTTCAAGAGCATTATTCTTATCATGATTTCGTATTTTCGTGGTCGTCCCCCGACCCCTCTGACCATGTCGTTTCCAGTCCATTATATCTTAGTCCGTGATCTACAGTCAGGGCCGTAGACACGGGGGGGGGGGGGGTTAGGGGGTTCAAACCCCCCCTTGGAAAGTTTATAAATTTATTTCAAATATTTAAAACTACTAATATATCTTATATATTTTTAAAAAAATTTTTATCAATAATAGTAATTAATAATATTTTAGATGTTTGTGTTGTTGTCGGTTATAAGTAAGGTATTTTGTGTATCGTCTAATGGTCGCACTGACAAATCACCATTACCATAACCGTTTTGTTACTGTGATAATTGATAATCTTATTATATGTTCATGTTGATAATACTGCAATTTAAGATAAAATATTAATAGATATTATCAGTATTATAGTTAAAACTTTAAAAGTTAAAACCGTGGTGAATTTTTTTAACTCTGTTGAAATAAAATTAACAAAATGGAGAATTTAAGTAATCCTAACAAAAAAACCAAAAAGTGTGTCATAACAAATTATTTCACTCAAGTTACCGACGTTAGAGGTGCTAGCAGTGAAATTGTTACTCAAACTCATCCTGTTTCTGAGTTATCTAGTGCTCAAAACACCGATCGAAATCAAGTAAGTTATTGTTACTTAAATTAATTAAATATTGTAGTTATTTTTAATTTAAAACATTTACCATTTTTTGGAGGATGTGTTGATACGCCAATAAAATAGTTATAGGTATAATATAAAATTGTATAGATAAAACAATATGATTTTATTTAGCCATAAGCCATAGTTTTAGCTTAATAGCTTGTGCATGTTGCCTAATAATTTAGCTTTTTCAAAGGTTATTGAACCTCGAAATAATGATGTTTCATTATTTGTAAACTGCAGTTTGACTGATGAGGAAAAACACTTAGTAAGTGATAAACTAATTACTAATCAGAATATATTATTTTTATTTTTAATGATTTTAATTTTCTTTCTATATTAATAACCTTTAATAGATTCTTGTGAAACCGTGGATTCCTCCTACCACGTATGCATTTCCAATAACAGAGCAAAATAAAAAAAGAAAACTTATATTTCAGTATAAATGGTTTACTACTTATAACTGGTTGGTTTATTCGGAGTTACAAGAAGGTGCTTTTTGCAAGTTTTGCATGGTATTTGCTACAACTGGTGGTGTTGGCCAACAAAAATTAGGAGCTCTTACTCTAACAGCTTTCAAAAATTGGAAAAAAGCTAAAGAAGTTAGGGTGCAATCATTAAATTAATTAATTTTATTTTCTAAATACATCATTTTAAAATGTTATAGGTGTTTAATGACCATTTGAATTATGACTATCATAAACTGTCTGTTGCAAAAGCAGAAGGGTTTTTGAACATCTATTGCAACAAAAAACCATCAATAATTAATGCCTTAGATGACGACAGGTTAGATAATTAGAAATAGTAATATATAATATTGTATTACCTAAGTTTTTTAATTTTGGCTTTTCATAAATATTTAATATTTAGAGTAAAAATAATAAAACAAAATAGAGAAAGACTGATTCCAATTATAGAATGTATCTTACTATGTGGATACCAAGAAATTCCCTTAAGAGGTAGTAATGATTTTGGTCCAATTAATTTTAAAAGTAAGTTACCTATCAAAATAAAATTATAATTACTGTGTAGCGTGTTACTTTATTTTTATTTTTTAGCTTCAACTCATAATGAAGGTAATTTTCGGGCTATTTTAAAATATAAAACAAAAGATATTGAGTCATTAAAGTCACACCTTGAGTCAGATACAAGAAATAAGTATTTAAGTCCCCAAATTCAAAACGAGATAATTAACATTTGTGGAGATATTTTAACAAAAAAACTGGTTGATAAAGTTAATAAGTCTCAATGCTTTTCGGTGATGGCTGATGAGACCACAGATGTGTCGGTATCAGAACAATTGACAATATGTGTACGCTATTTAAGTGGTACTGGTTCTAATATTGAAATAAATGAGGATTTTTTAAAATTTTATGAAATTAGTAGCTTAACTGGAAATGATTTGGCATCAGCAATTCTCAATGGTAAGTTCTACCTATATATTATATATTTATATGAATAGTTCTATATTTATAATTTAAATAAATAAATAAAATAATATAGTATGATTTAACTTTTAGGGCTAAATTCATGTGGGGTAGATTGTGATTTTTTATTTGGCCAAGGGTACGATGGTGCAGCAAATATGACTGGTCGTTTTAAAGGAGCTCAAACAATTATACGCTCTAAGCATCCAAAAGCCTTATACGTCCATTGTGCTGCACACTCGCTCAACTTAGCAGTGTCATCTGCATGTAATATTCCATCGATTAGGAATTGCCTCGGAATTGTTGAAAAATATTATTGTTTTTTTTAATTTCCCCAAACGAAATCACGAACTTTTAGAAGTTATCAATAATGGTGATTGGCAACCTAATGTAAAATCTTTAAAACGTCTGTGTATGACAAGGTGGGTACAAAGATATGACGCCATCAATGATTTTATTGAGTTATTCCCTTGTGTTGTTACTGCACTAAATAACATATCAGAATGGAATGATGGTAGTGGTACAAGTACTGATGCTAGCATTTTATTAAATGCAATTGATTCGGAATTTCTTGTGGCTCTTCAAGTTATAAAGGTATTAATTTTTATCCTTACCTATATATTAAATTCTACTTAATAATCACAATTAAATTATATTAGTTTGAATTTTATTTTTGTTGAATAGGTTTTATTTTCATTTGGTTTGCCACTATGTAAACAGCTGCAAAAAAAAAACATAGATTTAAGAGAAATGATCAGTTTGGCCAATATAAGTATCAAGGTTCTAGAAAATTTAAGGGAAAATGTAGATCATGAATTTAAAAAAATATTCAAAGAAGCTCAAGTAATGAATGCCATAAATTAAATTTTAATGTTCATTTTTTTAACTATGATTATATTTTTAAATAGAGATTGGCTGAGATGTTAGACTTTGAAATATCAGTCAAACGGTTAGCAAACCGTCAAAAACACCGCTCTAACTACATAATATCAAGTGATGATCCTGAAGATTATTATCGGGTCTCTATATGTATCCCTTTCATCGAATCTTTTATATATCAATTAAATGAAAGATTCTTGGCTCACCAAAATATTTTCAAAGGTATAAATATCGAAAACTATATCAATGATTAACTTCTTATATATTTTAATTCTAAACAATCAAAACAATATTTCAGGTTTTCAGTGTTTGTTTGATGACACTAATTCGGATCATACAGATTTTGAGACTCTGGTTTCTTTTTATCTACCACAAATTGATTTGACTACAGCAATCTGTGAGCTACAAATTTGGAAACAAAAGGGCAAGTGTGTAGCAGTTGGTAGTGATGAAGTGATTACATCAAATGCATTAGATGCTATCAAGCACTGTGATCCTATCATTTTCCCAAATATATTTACACTGTTAAAAATTTTGTGCACACTGCCAGTGTCTACTGCCACGCCTGAAAGAACTTTTTCCAGTTTGAAAAGAGTAAAGACCTATCTTAGAAATAGCATGAAAGAAGTATGTTTTAATAATATATATTTATTTTCATTTTATTAATTAAACACTACTCTAAATAGGATCGTTTAAATGGATTGGTGCTCTTAAGCTACTATCGAAACATCGAAATAACGCCGGAAGAAGTATTGGACGAACTAGCAAAAAAAAAAAGGAAAAATAGATCTGATATTATAACTTATAAGACACTAAAATAAAGATATATAAATAAAATAAAGATATAAAAATATAAATAATGCGTTATTTTTTCTTAATTTACTATAACATGTTATTATTATAATAAACCCCCCCCCCCCATATAAAATTCCTGTCTACGGCACTGTCTACAGTCTACACTGTGTGTAGTAATTGAAGCTAACATGACGGAGAGAGAAATGACGGCCTCATAGCATAGATACCAGGCCAGCGGAAAAAATATAGTGATATTATCTAGTATTCCAATGATATATCAATATTATTGTGGCGCAACTCGGATTATCAGGGTTGGCGAACAATCAGATAAAAAGTATAATAACTAAGCAGGTAATGAGTATCACTGTGTTTTATTACTGACTACTGAGAACAGAAAAGTTATAAATGGTTTGTGTAGGTATGCGTTGCCAACGCAGCATTGGTCCTTGCATATTATCGTCGATATTTGATATTATCGATATATCAAGCACATACGTATAAGCGAGCGTCCTTCTACGAGAAATGACTATCGCCTAGTTATAGTATTTTAAGTTGAATGCAAGTGTTAATCGCTTAATAAAAACGAGATTATAACTTGTTTCTTATTTATTCATTGTCCCGAAGTGTAAAGAGAAGTTCACACATTCAACACATTCAACCAGGATTTTTTAAAGTGCCTATTAATATCAGATAATATTTGTAAACGAATCTGGTATCCATTTTTTATAAGCTTTTCTGTAATACCATCGCTCAAGGTTTTACTATATAGATGTTCTGTTAATATATAATACAATATCAAACTCGCTGTTGCTTGAAGTTGTTTGGATGACATTAGAATTAATTAACAAATTCTAAAATCAAGTTTATATTATAATAATTATTTATTAAATTTCTATAATTAAATAATCAATTAAAATATGTTCCAGAATTTTAAAAATTGTCGTTAACTTTGTCAGTTATGGCATGTCACTTGACATGGACTTGTCTCATGTGTGTGTGCATTCAAATAAATATAGAAATTGGGTTAAATAAAAACCAAAAGATAAGTATATTTACCTAATATTAGTAATTTATAATTAATTTACTACCTCCCACGAGAGTCCATATGTAAAAACGCGTCCGTCGCTGCTCATCGGTTCCCCTTCCATAAGCCGAATCATACCGATAGGTGTCCTTGACATTCGTGTATAAGTTTCGACAGCAGTAAACACGTTTACGAAATTTATCTAATTCGTTTTTTATAAAATATGGTCTTTTGTGTCGTTTACGTTATAAGTTTATAATGTATTTTTTTACGAGTTTTCTGCAAGTTTTTTTATTAAATGTAAAGAATCATATAAGACTCCCAAAACGCATTTAATTAGCTGTGTTTTTATGATTCGCTGTATTCGGGTTATCGAGTGGTGGAAATGGCACTATGGTGGGAAAAAATTCGGACAGCAGAAGTCACCTACGTCAGTATCTCTGCACGGTTTACTTATGGACTAATTCCATTAAGAGGACATAAAGATTATGGCCGCCTAAGTCTGAATGATAGAGATAATAATGATGGGAACTTCAGAGCCTTGTTGCGCTATAGAGCTAAAATGGGGACGATACTCTTAAATCTCATATCTTAAATGCAGGTGGAAAACAAATGTATTCAAGTCCATTTATACAAAATGAAATAATTGAACTAATAGGAACTTATATTCAAAATATTATTATTGATAAAGTGAAAAAACAAAATTTTTCACTGTGCTTGCTGATGAAACATCTGATGTCCAAGGAATTGAACAATTTTCATTAGTTGTTCGCTATTTTGATGAAGATATACATGAAATAAGAGAAGATTTTTTAAAATTTGTGCCAGTGCATGATGTTACAGGCAAAGGGTTAGCTACTAGTATAAAAAATGAACTTCAGTCTCTTGGTCTTGATTTAAATTATATGCGTGGACAAGGGTATGATGGGGCTGCTGCAATGAGTGGAACTTTCAATGGAGTACAGGCAATAATATTGGAGGAATATCCTTCAGAAATTTACACTCATTGTGTCTCTCACTCATTGAATTTGGTTTTAAATGATGTATCAAAATTACAACCGGTTAGAAACTGCATTGGGGTGATATGAGAAATAAGTAATTTAATGAGAGGATCGGTGAGAAGATCTAATATCTTAAAAACAAAATTATCTAAACAAGGATTGACATCTTTAAGTTTAATGAATTACTGTGACACTAGATGGGTAGAACGGCATGAAGCAATTGTTAATTTCAAATATGATATTTTACCAATCATTTAAATTGTGGAACAGATAATGTCAGATAATAAAGATGATGCAACAGCTGCTCGATCATTTCATAAAAAACTTTGTGATTTTGAGTTTCTAATAACATTAGTCACAGTTAGCAAAATTATGGCTATAACTCATCAAATATCAGTTAGCCTACAAAAACCTGATATTGATTTAAGTTCTGCTATTGGGCACATAGAACTTGTACAATCAGTCATAACTGATATTAGATCAAACGTTGAAATTGAGTTTAAACACTTGTATTTAAGTGCTCAAGCTATCAGTTCTAAACTTCATGTTGAACCATCAATACCTAGGATTGTTGGTATCCAAAGATATCGTCATAATTATTCAACTAACTCTCCAGATGTATATTATAGAATTAGTTTATTCATACCATATCTTGATGAATTAAACTCATCATTTGTCAACAGATTTTCTAAACACAAAAAGACTCTTGTGAGCTTACAAAATATTATACCAATAAATGCAATTAAATCAAAATATTAAAATATTGTTGATGCTGTACACTTCTACCTTGCTGATTTTGAAAATGGTGAAGCTGTGATTCAAGGTGAGTTGATAGTATGGGTAGAAAAGTGGAAAATGGTTGATAAAACCATAGAAAAATTCCAAAAAATGCTCTAATGGCCTTAAAAGTATGCCAATTTGATTTGTTCCCTAATATTTATATTACGCTGAAAATTTTATGTACAATACCAATTACTACTGCAAGTGTAGAGAGAAGTTTTTCAACTCTTGGAAGACTAAAAACATACATAAGAAACGTGGAAATGTTCGATTAACTGGATTAGCCTTAATGACAATTCATAGAAACATACCGTTGCAAATTGATGACATTGTAAATAATTTTATTAAAAAAAATAGAAAAATGATTTTTACCTATTTGTTTTTTTTTTTTTTATTATTATAGAACTTAAACCTTTATAAACTTAATTCCTATGTATAAACTGTTAAATATATAGTAGACAGTAGCCTCTAAGTAATAGATCACTTGCTAGTTTTTATCTACTATGGGCCACTGCCCACCCCAAAAATTATTTCTATATACGCCACTGGCGCCTTAGTATAGATCCATAATATGGTACAATATTGATAAACATAACTGTTCGCCAGATGGGGATCATACAGATGGGGCATATGGCAGTTAGCCCCAACGAATCAATCTAAACTTGACTCGGGAGGATTATAAAATTAGGTTAAGGTACTAAAACAAATAAATAATAACGTCTTTCAAATAATTGCTCAATCTTCCCCAGTCTAGTATTTACATCAACCTTAAGTCTGCACATTTTAAAATTATAAGAAGTCTTATTTTTAATTTCCAAAGACATTGTCATATTTGTACAATATTTTGTAATTAATTTAACTGATAGCCACGGCTATAGATACTGTGGTTGCCGGACGGCCTATTTAAACCATATACCCGACTTAAATTCAGCCACTGCCGCTGCTTATCGCACTGCCGTATTTAATTCCCAAAATACTTCTGTTGCAACGTCGTGGCAGTGAGTGTGTTTACATTGTGCAGCTCTAGCAGCAACCCAACCGGCAGCGCTCGCCGGTTAACCTGCTGCTCGCACTGCTCAATTTACCGATCTTGACGGGAGCGACGGGCAGCGAGGAGCATAATCAGCGCGAGTGACCTGTTTACTTACTCGTGCTGCCCACTTCCATACCCACTTCCCTGCTCACTTCCACGAAAATGGGCTGAATGTAAACGAGGCATAATCCAAAGCGGCGAGTATAGTTCTTCCGTTTTCCTAATAACCGTTAGTGCTCCCTGTGGATAATAGCAGTAACTACTTGAGAAACATTGGTTTTGAAATATCGCTGGATGTTAAAAATACAATAATTTATTGTTTTCCCTAAATAGTGTGAATATTATAAAACTTACTATCGTTGTCCATGACTATTATGTATACTTTATTTAATTAAATTTACCTCTATTTTGATGCACATTGTTCATTATATAACCCGTGTTCACTATAAGTTATAAGGTTATAACATATTATTATAATTAAATTATAATTATCAATGTTATTTGTGTATTATGCTGAGAGCTAATCCATTATTATATTATCTGAGATTTTGTGTTGATATAAAACATAATCAAAATATTTTTAAATGTCTCATTGTTGTGTACGAGAACCACACATAATTTCAAAAAACACATTTGGCATTCCAAAAAATGAAAAAAAAAATGGGAAGAAGCACAATGAATAATTTTTAAAAAATGGGATCGTATTTACTCTAGTCATTTTAAAGAATCAGATATAATTAGTAAGTACGAGGTCTGTTTAAAAAGTACCAGGATTTTATTTTTAATAATTACAAAAATGAAGTTACATATTATTTAAAGATATCGCCTTCAAAATACTCTCCTTCAGACGATATGCAGTGGTTCCAGCGATCTTGCCATTTTTCGAAAGTCCTTTGGAACTGTTCTAAAGTTATAGCTTTGAGTTCTGTTGACGTATTCGCTTTAATTTCCTCTACATCTTAAAATCGTTGTCCTTTAAGCGCAGATTTTAATCTTGGGAAAAGAAAAAAATCGCATGGGGCTAGATCAGGAGAATAGGGAGGGTGCGGGACCACAGGTATTTTTTTTTCAGCCAAAAATTCACGAACTTACAACGCTGAATGTGCTGGCGCATTGTCGTGATGAAGAAACCAGGTTCCACTTCGCCATTTTTCTGGGCGCTTTTTGCGGATTTTCTCTCGCAAACGTATTAATATATCTTTATAGAATACCTGATTGACTGTTTGTCCATTGGGCACAAATTCATAATAAACAATACCTTCAATATCAAAAAAAACAATCAGCATTGTCTTGACATTCGATCTCACTTGGCGAGCTTTTTTTGGTCGAGGGGAAAATTTTTTTTTCCATTGAGATGACTGTAACTTTGTTTCTGGATCGTACCCATAAACCCATGTCTCATCCCCTGTGATGATGTTTTTTATGAAATTAATATCAGCAGATCTATTTTTAAGGTCTTGACAAATCGTTAAACGATTTTCCTTTTGTTCCAATGTCAACAACCGCGGAACGAATTTAGCAGCTACCCTTCTCATTTGTAAATTTTCTGTTAAAATTTCATGAAATATCCAATTGAGATTCCTGCCTCATTTTCTAAACGAATGACGCACGAAAAACGGTGTCAATTCGGGTTGTAGGTCGGAAACACTTTTATTATATTAAAACAAACATAAATGAAACACTTAGCAAATTCAAATTGTCTAGCCCGTACTACGATCGACGTTTCACACGTACGACCACAGTACCTACTACCTACGTCCTCGCCGATTCACTCAGCGACAACGGGACTCCCGTGCCTGCGCGTACGGCGGTTTTATATAGTAAAATCCATTTTGCTGCCTCAGCACATATTGCTTCACTGACCTATGTCAATAGTTTACAATTTAAAATGTTCCCACCTCTATTACATATATATTAAATAATAATATCTTGACGACTGTCTACTATATACGACATATATAATAATTATACATTATTTTGATCATGATTCATGATCCAAAATTAAAACATTTTTTTTCCTTGATTTTTTAGCTGCAAAAGCATCAATTATTGAGTCAAAATTGAGTTCTGAAGCCATTTCATTTTCTATGGATAGCATTTCTAATCCAGATAATCTGTTTTGTATTCCTCAAATATGTTTTAATAAGTTTTAGTTTTGAGAATGATCTCTCAGCACTAGCAGAAGTAACTGGAATTGTCAAAATGATTCGAAGAGCAATTGATATATTAGGAAAACAACTACAAGTTTTTTTTGTCACTTCCAATGCTTGTAAAGCTGTCATGTTTTCTTCAACTAAATTTCGAAATAAGATTAATTCTGTATACAAATCTACCGCTTCAATATCTTTTGAGTCACCAGAAGACAAAATATTTTGTAAATCTTTACAATGTTTCATTAAATCTTCATCATTTGTTTCTTTTAACTTCTTTATATTAAATAAAAAACCGAAGTTCTCTTCATACCACCTAAATTGTATAAATCTTTCTTCCATTGAAACAATAGCCTGGTCTAGAATAGGTAACAATAAAATATTCTTGTTTAAATATTTCTTCACCATTATTCCTATGTATTGGTTAGTCATTAATAGCGATAATTACGTTATCTTGATTCTTGACGTGCCACTGGTTAGGTTAGCCGGTAACACAGGTAATATAAATATGTACTATTAATACATATATTATATTTATTTATATAATATAATAGTAGGTACCTATAACTTAATAATTAATAGTACCATAATTTACAGTTGACATGCTCGTAATGAAAAATTTATTATATCTAAGTAACAAGTATATCTGTATTATGTGAAGCATTTTTACATTTTATTATATTACTTATCTACTTACCTTACCTACCATTTACCAACCTATTTCTATACGCTGTTCCAAAAAAAAAGACACCAGATTTTCATATTCAGTAGAATAGATTTGATCAAAAAAAATTAAAATTAGGTAGGTATATTTTAAAACATCAGCTTATTTACAAATAAAAAACAGTGTAATTTTGGGTTATGAAAGTTACTAGAAACTTGAGCCCCACTATTGGAAATCTTATTTTTTAATGCATAATATGATAGGTATTTGAAAAAATGAACCGCGGATATGTGTGAACGGACTAATTCAAAACAATGCGTTTTGATCATTTGGGCGGTCGAACCGCACTCGGGTCAACCGCGATATGTTGCGGTCGATTTTTCAACCGCGGCAGTTTCCGCGGCTGAACCGCGTAAGTGTGAACGCATATTAGGCGGTTTCATTTAAAATCAAACAATTTGAATTTGTTGGGTGGTTCAACCGCTATGTGTGGCCCGGCCCTTAGCTTTACTAAGACTATATCTTAGTTATAATAACAATTTCATCACCTATATTTGTTTAGATCCATCCAGATAAAGCTCCAATAAAATGGGAATTGTATAAAAAAGTTTTTGAGTACGATTCTAAGTCTTTTAAAAGTTTAGAAGGTAAGAAGAAAGTTTTTTAGAAGGTTACATCAAATCACTTTGATCTAAACAATTTAACTAAGATGAAGGTCAAATATGCATCTCACTCAAGTTAAGAAATATATCACAATATATGCATAATAAATTATTTTAAAAATATTAACCAATTATCTATTAATTAATTAATTTAAAATATAGATGTTTAGTAAATCTATGGTGAATGGAATACAATTTTACAAAGATAAAAACTTTGAAGGATTTACGGATTGTGAAGAAACTATTAAATTTACTGATATATTTAATAACCTTTTTGATGCATGAATAGAAAATTTCCTGCAGGAGGAATTCCAAAAAATAATCATGATTTAGAGGTTGATTATATGTTGTGTGGTGTGTGTTAAGTGTATGTAGTTGCATGTATGTAAAATCGTGTCTTTGTGATATTAAATGTTGGTATACAATTGAAGGGGAGTACTTTAGTATTAAAATTAAAACAATATAACTTGAAACTATCATTATATTATATTATAATTTGTTAATTTAAGGTACTAAAAGAAGCGTTAGTGTGGCTCAATGATTGGGAACAAAATTTAAGAAATAAACTTATCACAGATGATTTGTTTCTTACCAAACAGGGCTTAAGAATCACCATTAAATCAACATTAGACTTGGTAGAGTATTTGCACACTGAATGTGGATTTGAATATGTCTTAACATCTAAATTCAACCAAGAATGTTTAGAAGTAATTTTTTATCCATCACTTATCTAAAGAAAAAAATATTAATTATTAAATACCTAGAAAATTACATTTATATATCTAAGTATATTAATATCTAAGTAATTACTAATTACCATTGTTATTTTAGAAGTTTTTTGGAATCATAAGGCAAGTGGCAGGCCCTAATGACCATCCATCCACACCAACATATTAACAGTTATACCGAATTTATTCATTAATAAAACCGCCTATAACGGGGAATTGCACCATTTTGGAAGGGACAAAAAAAAATATTATTTGAATATAATTACTGTATCAGCATAAATATAATTGACTTCAACTTCCTTTTAAAGAGAATGTTCCTTAACAACAATCAGTGATATGAAAGAAATATTGAATAAACAAGATCAATCTACAAGAGACTTAGACATAAGCAAATTAGAAGAGAAAATTGATAGAATAGTTTATGAAGGTATTTGGGATTTTAACGATATTTTTCAAGACCATAATTATTTATATGATTCCTCAACAGTTTTTGAATGTGTTGTGTATTTCTTAGCTGGGTAAATAGTATTAATTTACTTATATTTTATTTTGTTTTAATTATAGTGTTATAATTTCATGTTATTAGGTATATACATCAAAATAAAATTAAACACATTAAATGTGAAATGTGCTTAAATAGCTTAAAACCTGAATATGGTCATGTTGTTGTCCCAGAAGCAGATCTTGTAAATTTGAAGACAAGAGGATTTTTGACACATCCAAATAAAAATGTATTCATGATACCAAAATTAATTGAAATGTGCTTTGAAAAACATGCGGAGTCACCAAATGTATTTGAAAATACATATGAAGAATTCTTCGGTAGAAACATAAAACTCACATTTCCATGCACTGAACACAAGAGTGATTTGCTTACTAATATATTTAATATGTATATAGTCATGAGAATAAGACAGTTCACATATTCAACAAACCAACAAAATAAAAAACAGAATCAATTTAAAAAAAAAAAATCTCTAAATTAATGATTACATAAAGTTAGGGTTGTAAAATATGATTTTATTATTTTATTTAAAATGCTATTGTAACCTGTCAGTTAATTTCAAAACTATTATAATTATAATTAATATAAAAATTATTTAGGTCATTTTATATTTATTTTTTTACAGTCTCTACTCTTACATTTATATTTTCAACTGTTCAAAGTAAGTACCTATAATATGGCTATATAAAATAATATGTTGAACTACAAAACTAGATAGCGCTAGATGGTATTAGAAACACACAAGAACTTTTCTTGGAAGTCTTATCATGACCCTCAACCATAGTATCTATAGCCGTGCTTATAACCGACTGGTCGCTGTGACCACAGAATATAGAATAGACACTCGATCAGCTGTGAGGGTTTACGTATCCCTACGGTATGATGTATTGGACTATAAAAGTTGTACCGTATCCGTAATCTGATAGAACGTTAGCAACGTGTATCCCTCTTTGTTACGGAATTTTTATAAACGATTTTATATGAATTTTCATATTTTAAGTATATCAATATTAAATTTTGGTAAAATGAATAAGGATTTTGTTTTAATATAAATTAAAAACTATAATGTAATTTTACATTGGTTTATTGTTAATGAAATAATATATTGTATTATTATTCTGTGGACTGATAATATTGATATGATTTATTTAAATGATAACATATGCCACGCCCCTTAGAGACTGTGCTCAAGGCCACAGTCACCCGATTTTGCCAATACACAGAGTGTCTATACCCTGCTGTGACCAAGGTAGATATAAAGAGGTGTAAACACTCCCTATCTTTTACATTATGATAGTGGGCCGAAAAAAGTACACCACTTGTAACTGCCACCAGGAGCGCTGACTACCCGATGAAGGCTCAAACACATTAAAGTTTGTATGGTACATTATGCAATTTAGCATTTTATTCTAATTACTAATTAGTATATTTAGTAATTACAAAGACTGTGGACTTCAAGATCTAATAATTAATATTTTAAATTTTAAATAGTGTAACTTAATTTATGTATAATGTGTGTATATGGTACTTTTAATTCATATATTTTCATACCCAGATTGGAAAACATTTACCAGTAGTTAAGTAGTAGTTTATATTTATATTAATTTTGATATTTTTTTTAATCTTTTTATAGTATTTTTCCATAGAGACATTGTGTAGTAATATTGTATTTTCAATAATGCCATTATTAGAATTACTACAATATGTTTTTATAAAAATAAACATATTATGACAAGTAGTGGTACCAAATTAAGGAAATAACAAATTTACAATTAGGTAGGTACTTTAATTAATATATTTCAATATGACAATCATTACAATAAAATAATGCATAAATTTAAATTTTTAATTATAACACAAATATGAAATAGGTAGGCAACATGTCTACATGTCTACTCCACAAATCAATATTCCAAAAAAAATGTGGATAATTATCAATAATTGTATAATTGAAGATAGATTTATGTTTCAAAATTATTTAATAAAAATCCATAAGTATTCAAGCATTCAGCATTGTAAATCGTATTTTCGTATAGAAGTAGGAACATTATGAGCCTTCATCGGGTAGTCAGCGCTCCCGGTGGCAATCACAACTGGTCTACGTGTTTCAATCAATTTATAATTAGAGTGTTTACACCTCTATATATCCACCTTGGCTGTGACGAAGTGGGGCGGTTGGTACATGGCATGTTGCTGGCGCTCGCACATTTAGATCACATTTAGACATAACTACACACTATCATATGGCGTCTGGCACACTGCAAAGTACATATGTAAGATATGTTGTACCTACTGTGTTGTATGCATAGATATATTATAACAGTGTAAGGTGCGAGCGCTTGCACGATTGACATTTGAAAACGAATGTCCACATCCGAGACAAATCAAATAGGGTTTATTGCAAAGTTGGCAATTACTGATAGCAGGTGACCTGATTCAGAGGATAACGACGTACTGGAGTATAAAAGTGATTGTCAACCACCTAAATAAGTGTAATATCAATGAACTCTGGATTATAAAAAAAAAAACAATAACATTTCTACAAAAGGTATATAACCCTCTAGTAAAAGTTAGCAAATTGTATAATAATTGAATGATATTTTATTATCTGATTTATAAGGGGTTAAGACAATGATACAACCTTAGCACAAATACGTTGTAATATTGCAAAATGTTGTTGATAATAAGACGTTTTGAGTAAATTAAACAAAACTAATAGTCTGATTATTTTATTTAGAAATTATCAAAATAAAAACTATATTTTATTATTGTGTTTTTATTAACATATTAAATAATACATAATATGTAACTAACAGAAATACAATTGTTAATCCGGTTGTTTTTTTTTCGGGGTAGTAGTTGCAGTTGGCACATGCAGTTAGGTTGTATGTTTAGTTTGTATGTGCCAATTTAAAGTAAAAATTCCGCTAAAATTGTTTTGTATTGAGTGCACTTCGTGTGTTTTTTCATGCAACTTAAGTGACTTTTTTTCCCATATCTTTTTTGGCCGTACTGACATACAAAAACTTCTGCTAGCAGAAAGGCAAATGTTTTATTATATTTTTATATTATTTTGTTATTATTAATACACTGTCTTATAATACTATTATTATAAAATTATTTATACTGTCAAAGGAGAGCAGTGGCATAGCGAACTGAAAATTTTCCAGAGGCAAGTTACTAATATCCCAAGGATAAATTGCATAATAATGTACTAATACCAGTGTTGGGTTAGTTACTTTTGAAAAGTAACTAAGTTACTCTACTCATTACTAAGAGATAAATGTAATTAAGTTACTTTACTCGTTACTCAAATAAAATTGTAATAAAATTACTTTACTTTTCGAATAGAAAAGTAACTATCATTACTTTCTCGTTACAAAAAAAAAAAAATAACTTCTTGGCAATTATCTTCTGCAGACAAATTGAACAAGCAAATTCTTTATAAAACTTGTATAGTTAATAGGATCGTATAAAACTTAGTCTTCCACACAAGCTATTCATAGGAAACCTATTTAAAGGCATGAAATTAAATAATAAATTTAATTAACTGTTTTCGTGATTTGTACGGTGCAATTAGACATTTAAAATGTCAAAAACATTGAAAACTGAATTGTGACAAGTTAAAATTAAATATACATACATATTAAATTGTTAAACATAATAATACCTGCATTATACATATATTTTTTTTTAATTCGCTTTAAGTAGGTATGTAGGTACTTAATAATTCGAAACTGTAACTTGTTATTCTATAAAAATTACTTTTCAAAATTTATTTTATCAAATAACTTTTGTTATAACTACAAATAATATGTTTCTTGTCATACAGTGGTCGTGTGGTTAGCATTTATTATTACATATTACCTACATATTATATTATATATTTTATATTATTAGTTTAATTTAAATTATTATTTTTATATTACATACAATGACACATTATACATTTATTATGTATGTACAAATTGTACATATTTAATTATTCTTAAAAAACTATAGTATTGATGTTTGTTTTTGGAACTTTGATTTGTTCATTTCCAACTCATGATGGATAATTATCCCACTCACGTATGGAAACCATTTTTCATAAATTGTATTCAAATAAAACTCCTTCAATCGAATAAGCTGTTCAAGAGCTTCTGAATAATTTTCAAACGTCTTAATTTCAAAATTTTCTAGTTGGTCATCAACTTGTGGCTCATCAACGGGTTCCATGGGATTTAATTCAGTTCGAATGTTATCTAAAATCACAGCTGTATCATCTGAGCTACATTCTGTAGACAAATTAGTTATCTCAAAATATTTCATGTACCTACCTAATTTAAATTCTTAAATATTGTATGTAAAATATATTTTATTCAATAAATTGCTTATTTTCCAAATTCTTCCTGCATATTTCTAAGTTCCTAGCCTTGGTTATTATTTATTATTTAAACTAAAACAATATGTTTAGGCATCTACATTAGTCAAAAATACAGATATTTACCTATCTATGAATTGTATACAACAATTTGGTATAATTAGCTATTGCCTATTTGCAAGGCTGGGCATTAACAAGTTCAAAAATTAAAGTTAAATTAAAAAGTTTATTTTATTTTAACTTTTTAACTTAACTAGTTACTTTTGGATTTTCATTAACTTAATTGTTAACTTACTATATTTCTTATTTAATAAAAGTGAAATTAACGAATTAATTTTTCATTTTAAGAAGTAAGTTAAGTTAATTTATTTTGTTTTTAATTTTATTATATTTCACTATTTCAGTCTATTTCGTTTTCATGTCAAAAATATTTACCGTGAATTGTCTAAAGTTAAAAATGTATATCTTTCGAATCTAACTTGTATGGAAATACTGTATAAAGTATAAACACTGTAGTCTATAATTTAGTTTTGGGTTGGAAAAAAAATAAGTACGCTAGCCTTGTATAAACAAATGAACTTTTTTTTAACTTAATAAAAAGTTAACAAAAAGTATTAACTTTTAAGTTAACTAAGTTAACCTATTGTTAAATTAACTTTTAATTTTTTGTTATTGGTGCATATTAACTTAACTTAGGCCCGGTTTTTCAATTGACTTTAACTGGCAGACGGCAGTTAGTAGAATTTAACTGCCGGTTAATACGTTGTCCCAGTTGAACTGTTTTTGGAACTCCAGTTAAGTTAACCATCAGGTTTAACTGATAGTTACACTAACCACTAATATTTCTTCCGATTAACTTTTTAACTGTTAGTTAATTTAATAATTATCATTGATTGTGATAATTATCGCAAATCATGATTTACATGTTACACAAAAATGGGGAAATAGCTTAATAGTGGCGGATTCTGGTTATGCTAACACTATGTGAGGTAACTCATATTATTTTTCAAAAGAATAATCATAACTTTTAAGCAATAGTAATAATTTTAATAGTAAAAAATAATAAATAGTGAAATAAAGTTGAGATAACTAAAAAAATTTAAGTTAATAAAAATAATAGTTATAATTTGATTTGATTAATTTTTTTTTGGTATTTTAATTGTCTTTTTTTTAAAACATATAACTAAATATAAGATTTTTAAGATGAAAGTATTTTTATTTTTTAATGTCGCATTCATATTGAAAAGCCAACATTTTCAGTTCATGTTCTTCATTCAAATGTTTTATTTTTAATTCGTGCAGTTCCCTGCCTTGTTCAAGTTCCTGCTTGACCAACTCTTTTTGCAAATATACCAAACTTTCTTTTTCTTCTGCCAAGTTTGCAATTTTTTCACTTGCCAATGCATAACACATTTTTTTCTTTTTAAATGGTTGTTCTAGGAAAAAAGGAAAAAGAAAAGAATAGTGAAAAGGATGGGGATAAGGGAAATTTGAATAAAGATTTTTTTCTTTAAATATAATTTGTTCAAATAGTAAATATATGAGTTCAAACAGTTTTCTCTTCAAAGAAGAATCATAATAAATTATGTACCAACAATCTAAGAACGAGTCATTGTATGATGTATGTGATTGGTAATTTATTATTGGTTGCTTAGCTACTATATAAGTATACAGTTAGTGCAAAAACCTTTAGTATGCATTGATTTGAGTTATAACTTATTATGAATTTTGAATGCAGTAATATTTGAAAGCAACGATATACTGTTATTTTAAAATTCTATACATTAATCACTTATATCCGGTTTTATGAGTAATGTTCAAACAAACTTCTATTACTTTTTTCATCTGCCATAAATTTATTTTGATACATATTAATTCAATTTTAAAGAGGTAACAGTTAGGATTCTCTAATTGTCAATTTAAACACAACATTTAAAGATATTAAGGACTTGAATGGGTCACTCAAAGGATAATATTACAGTTTAAGGGCGTATTGGCTTTAAATTTAAATCATGAGTGTTGTTGACTAACCCCATAACAATAATAGTACTTCCATCTTCCCAAAGAGGAAAAAATGTACTTACTTTCCTTTTCTTCATACCTATTTGTTTAACCTATAATAAACTATTAAAAATATATGCGCAAAATAGATTAAGACAACCAAAGTTTTGTAACATACTACCTGAAAAAATAAGTTCAAGAGTTCAACTCATAGCAGAAACCAACTTACCGAAGCAGAAATAAATTACCTGTTTTTTTTTTATTTGGTGATACACTGAAACTTAACTCAGTACCTAGCTATTGGTTCCGTTTTTAAAAGTTTTACAGAATCAGAGGAAGTCCATGTTGATACACTAGGTACCAGAGACGGCCATGATTTCAAATCAAACTATTTTCAAAATATTTTTTTAACGATTTTGATTTTGATTTTTAAAAATCAATTCAATTATTTTGAACAAAAATTAATCTACAACTAATTTTTACATAATCGATGGTTTGTAGCCTTGTAGGACCATGATTGGTAACACCTATATTAATAATTTATATATTATATATTTATATTTAATATTATTTCATTATAAAACAATTTGATGCTATCATACGTCATAAAGTAAAACCATTGTTCTGTGGTAAAACGATACCCGGTGATTAGTGATAACTGATAATAACAGAAACTGATAACCATAGAACAATATTGAAGCGACACTCGATCAGCTGATTGGAGCCTTGGTTACCTATGATCAAGACGTCTGAACCTACGAAAAACATGAAAATGGTTTCACGCACCAACATGATGTTAGACCCATGGTTACCACTTACCAATATTATGAAAACGGTTCGAAGACTACGGTGGCCGGTGGGTTAGGTTAGGTTTTGGTCTAGTCTTTAGATACATGTGTGTTCGTTTTGTCGACTTGTAGACTCTAGTTTATGACTTCATACAACGTTTACTGTGTCCGTTTACAAAATGAGTTTAAGTCAAGAAGAAGATATCATCAACAACGAGGGATTAGAAAAGTCGACAAGTATTTCGTCTACCGTCACCAACAAAAATTATGTACCATTAGTTCAGAATAACGAACAAATCTTAACGAACTCAGAGTCTAATTTTGATACTTTTCTAGGAGAACTCTTGATAGAAAAATGTATGATCATTATCTGTTATCAGTTGCAAAAATAAAATGTTTTCTTAGTCAGCATCAATATGTTTGTACAACAACAGATATATGGTCTATGAAGAGCAGAAGTTTCATTGGTGTTACTGCACATGTTCTAAATGATAAATATTTTAATAGAATATCTACCGTATTAGCTTGTACTCGATTCCCAGGTGTACATTCTTTTAATCGAATTGCAGAAATTTTGCATAGTATACATTTAATGTATGATTTACCAGTCTCTAAAATAGTCGCTACCGTAGCTGACAATGGTGCGAACTTTGTCAAAGCGTTTAAAGAGTTTGGTATACAGAATAATAATGAAAGTGAATATGATGAGCTTAACGAGGAAGAAGTTTTACAATTTGTTGATGTACAAAGCGATGTTGTCGATGTTGAAAACAATTTACTAGATCCAGATGATGCCCAGTATATGAATGCAACTTTAGCTTATCACCAGCGTTGTGCAACACACACACTAAACCTGATTGCCAGTAGTGATATAAACAAATGTATTAAAAATAATGCAGCATTAAAACGACTTCATCACCCTGCTCTAGCAAAATGTACTTTACTGTGGAACGCCTCAGGACGGCCCAAATCTGCTGAAACCATTTATTCGATTTTGGGGTTCAAATTAAGCTATCCTTGTGTAACACGCTGGAATTAATTTTATGATTCTTTATGCTTAATTATAAAAGCTAAAGAAAAACTGAATTCTGTATTTGAATCCCTTGGTAGTAATACTCAGTTCAAAAGTTATGAATTGGAATATTTATCCGATTACATAGATATTGTGAAACCTATATCAATTGCACTAGATAAACTCCAAGGTGAACAAAACTGTTATTATGGGCAACTTATTCCAACACTTTTTGCTCTTAAAACAAAGTACAAAAAAATGCAGGTTCTATCAAGTATGCCGGGAAGTATGACTCCAACTGAAAACAGTTCTCTTGATAGAATACTAAATATCAGACCCCAAACCAGTTTAATTTCAGACATTTTGGTAAGTCTTAAGAAACGTTCTAAAAACTAGTATGAACTATCACCTGAAGTAAATCAAGCAATTTTAGCGTCAATGTCTCATCCATTTTTTAAATTGCGTTGGTTAGATCTAGAAACTCCACCATCTACAAAAAAAACTTTATGTGATTTATTTGTAAACAGTGCCAAAACTATTGCATCCGAATATAATTCTGAAACTATATCGTCTATATCAAACTCTGAAAGTGATGATGATTTTTATGAAATGCAACAACTACACAATGAAAAAGAAGCCGATTCAGTGTCAAATACTGAAGCATATAACCTCCTTACATCTACACCTTTGGAACAAATCAAGTTTCACTCCAAAATCGATATTGAAGTATTGCAATTTTTAGAAGATAAAAGTAAAGATTTGTTATGTTTGAACCAATTTCCTCACGTAAAACAGTTGTTTTTGAAATATAATGTTGTAGGTATTGCCATCTTCTGCTTAGATTATTGGCATTTGCTGGAATGATAAATACTCCAAAAAGATCAAATCTTTCAGATAAAACATTTGAAAAACTCGTCTTTCTTAAAGGAAATCAGCAATTTTTTTTAGCTAAATATTAAACATTTTATTGTATTTTTTTAAAACATTATAATCATAAATACAAAACTATTATACCTATATTACTTTACAAATTATATATGATATTTGAATTTCAGTTTTTTCTCTCAGGTATTTTACCATTTAATTATTAAGTTACAAAGTCTATATGACTATATGATATATAAAATAATATATTTCAGTGACTTACATTTACATATGAATATATGATCATGGTATACCGTATACTGTATAGGATATTGATATATACTTAAACTTAAGCAGTTAAGCCTATGTTGAAATCGACAGATCAATAATAAAAATGCATATATTTGATTTCATAAATCAAAACTTTATGTAGCTTTAAAATATAAAAAAAATTACTAATTCTCATAGTATACCTAAAACCTAATCATATGTGATTTTGTGGCTTAACAAATTATAAGCTAATTAAATCTTTTAGGTAATGATTTTGATTTTGATTTTGATTTTAAAATCAATAGTTTTGATGATTTTGAACTTTGATTTTAAAAATCATTTTTTAAAAGATTTGATTTTTTGATTTTCAAAATCAATTTTTTACTGATTTTGCCCATCTCTGCTTGGTATTATATTAAAATAAAAGCTAAGTTAATTCTGTTTATAGTAAAGTTGTAACTTCTTTTGGTTTTATATTACTCACTTTGTCTAACATCAGCATTTGAAAGTAAAATTGTCTTCTCTGATAGGGTCTTCGCTCTTACTATTTTCTTCATTCTGCCATACTTCAATTTCAATTGGATCATATACTGGATCAATTATTCCATTTGAGTTAGCTGCTGTTTAATATAATACATAATTAGCTAAATAAATTATTTGTACATGAGTACAGACTTAAGTTTCGTAATTGCAAATTTGTGCCAAATTATAATTAGTGTCAGTTTTGCTAATATTATAATGATCAGGTAAATTTACATAGTATGTTATGGGGTTTTTAATACAGTTTCATTTATTCTTTACATATACAGTATAATGTACAACATAATTAATTAATTAAAAAATAAGTAAGTAAACTTACTTACCTATGACATTAGAATCAAATGCATTCCTTCAACAGATACTTGGATAGTTCTGAATAATTCTGATTCAAGTTCTGTAGAAGGTTCAGACATAAATTTTAAATGTACCACCACCAGTCACAAAAAGCTGAGATTTGGAACCCCTCATAGTTTTTTTTATGTTTTCATATTTTTGCTTTAAGCAAGTTGCACTTCTTGGCTATTAGAGTAAAATAAATTAAATACCTCTACCTAGGCACCTACTAATTACCAATTGGCAATTCTACAAAAATTTGTTGTATGCTTACAGATCCTGGCGACTGGCTGTTATATTGTAGCAATTTCTTCCCAAGTCTTTTCTTTGTCTTTCCAGGTAACAGCATTGGATGATTTATTGTCCAACACTGTTTTCCTAGAAAGAGCAATTTTTAATAACAGTTCTTTTTCTGTAATGCTGAAGTTATTTGAACGTTTTCTCTTACTTAAACCACTCATTTTATATTTTATGTAACAATTAAATAAAACAAATAATCTTATTTTTAAGTAAAATTAAATAACACAAATTATAGACAGTAAATCTCAAATGTCAATTACTAGCACTTACGAGTTACGGACACATTCAAATTTTTTTAAATAATTATTCTCGTTAACTCGTTTATACTATTGATAATAGACAGATGTATTAATATAATACACTTTTTGCAGTATGACCACTCGCTAGATATATTGATTTTACGATTAACCTCTAGTTAACTGACTGGCACATCAATTTGACTTGATAAACAGTGTACTTTTTAACCGGCGTTTTAACTGATGATTATTAACTGAAAGTTAACTAACTGGCAGTTACTATAACAATTGAAAAACTGGCCCTTAACTGAGTTAAAAAAAATTATTAACTTGCCCAGCATTGCCTATTTGTCTACGCTCTACTGTATGATATTTATTTATAATATTATATTGTAATTGATAAATATTATGTAAAATTATTGAGGAGACAAAAACCCGTTCCAATAATAGCATTGGTAATAAATTGTAAAATATCCAATATACATAATAATATGTAGACGGTATATTATTATTTATGCGTTGTTTATTTTTAGATAGTATCATGTGATTTAAACTATGCAATATAAAATAAAAATTAAGATACCTACCAAATACACGTTTTATTACTAGTAAATTGGTAGTTAGATCGTTTACAAGTTATTAAGGTTGTAGGTACAACAATGCATCGGCGTATGACAGAAGCACACAGTATATTATTATTATTACCTATTCATTGATGGCACTTTTACAAATTAAATACAAAATTCGAATGTAAATAGCTTCTTTCATTATTAACCCATTATTATGAATGACAAGTCAAAATTCATTAAAAAAATTCCTATATGAAACATATTTCAAAAATATAAGTTCCCATTTGAATTTTAAAAGTTACCAGTTAAATCTCCCCTTTTCAATTTATAAAACAAAATTAATATCAAATACTTTTAGAGTATAATATGATTCAAAGAGTAGATTAAGTATATCATGCTGAAATCTGCTGTCACGTGAAATTTTTAACACCCTGTATACCTAAATAAATTATAATTAATATAAATGTTAATATACGCTTAACAAAGTGTTAAAAAGTTTTAAGACAAATAAGTGTCTTGTATACTATAAACTGGTCTTGATTTATGTTGTTTGTTAAATATTAATATTAATCAGTTTGATAATTTAAAGTCATTCAAAACCTATCTTAAGTATATAGATTTTTCAAAGATAATAGAATTATAATAAGACTGTTATGTAAAATTGTACTTAAGTAACAGATTGTTTTTCAATTTTTTTTATCAATGATATCCCATGCGGCCAAATACGAAATAACTAATAATATAACTAATATACGCAAACAATTTCAAAAACATAAGGTACAAGGTGTTGCCAAAGAAAATCGAGTTTTTTTTCTTAAAAGTTATCACTCATTCTTATCACTCCAGAACATGGTTTAGAAGATAAGGTCCTTAATAATAATTAAAATTATTATTCCAATAAATTGTATGATTTATTTTTGTATTATTTCATTAAAATTCAATGTACAGCTGTGCGACTGTTTCGGTCGTCGTCTTATCGTACTGACCGACCAAACACGCACACACTACACGCCCACAAGTGAAAATTCAGAGGGGGGACAGCCTTATTTTTTATTAATAATCAAACACTTTTATACTGATTAAATACTTTTATTAACTAATTGAACACAAATTGAATTTTATTTTATTTTTCCCAAATTCATCAACAACTTTTTCAGCTAAATGAAGGTCTTCGATTTTTTTTCTATGTAAACTTAACATACATAATCCGGATAAACGATTCTCACACATTGTTGAACGTAACCAGGTTTTAACACGACGTAATGTGCTGAATGTTCTTTCTGTACTACAAGTTGTTGGTGGAATAGTCATATAAATAATAATACTTTTCTTAACAGTTGGATAAAATTCACAATCTTTTAAATAAAAAGAAATATTTTCCTTTTCATTAATTGATGAAGACTCTTTCATCATCTCCCGATAATCATACCATGTTTGACCTTCTTCTACTAAGTTTTCTATTTTATAATGGTTATCTAATTCTTTTAAAATGTCAATAAAATTTATTTTTGTCATTTTTAACATAGCGATGGGTGTATAAATCCTAATTTAAATGGTATTTCATTTATTGGACTAAAACGAATTTCTAAGGATTGAATTAAAGAATCAATATAAGGTATATATATAGAAATCCGAAAGTACTCATCAGGAGTAGATGTAACAATATTTTGACGATGAGTTTGTTTTGACGCTACTCGTGGAATTTGTATGTCCAAGTTAAATTGAATTGCACAGTTTCTTACATCATTAAATATCAGACTAAAATTTTCTTCTGACATCGATCTATGCTTCTTTAATATTTCTAGTAAATTTGAGTGTATATGTTGATGTACTGTATGCAAATTAGTATCAACAGCTTGTAATTTGTTTACAATTGGCTCTAATATTTTCGAATACTTGGCTATAATTTTTAAGCACACAATAAACCCTATAGTAGAAGTTGCACACGAAAGTTGATAAGCTTTTGTTCTAGTAGCAGAATTTGTATCATAGTTAGTAGCCAATACTTACTGAGAGCCGATTTGATTTCAAAGAAATTACTATCAAATATTCTAATAGATTGAAAAATATATTTTTCAGACCACCTAGTCTCACATAGCAATGGGATATTGGAAATTAATCGACGCCTTAAAATACTTTCTCTAAAGAATTTAATTGTTTCTTTGACTGTCCCTATTGAATTGCGGATTTCAGGAAGGCTATTTTGGTCATTTACCACTAAATTTAATTTATGGGATGCGCAATGGAAAAAACATGCAATTGGATATTTTTTTTTTATTATAGCTTGAACGCCATTTTCTTTTCCACTCATTGTAGAACATCCATCAAAACCTAATCCTACTAATTTTGAAAAATCTAGACCAACTCCACTTGTAAACTGGATTATGGATGATCCAATTCTTCAGCATTCAATTTTTGAAGCTCTACAGACCCTAGAAATTCTTCTTTTATATCATATGTTCGAGAAACATAACGCACTCCTATAGATAATAATTATAGGAGAGCAATTATTGCTCGTTACCAGCGATATCAGCTGATTCGTAGGCCATTAGAGAAAATGCCATTGAGTTATTTACACATTTTACAATTTTTAATCATTAAATTATAGTATCACCACAGAATAAGACTAGATATCACTAGATATCACACATTCACACTGTTCAGTTCAACGATTAGATAACCGCAGTCCACAAATAATCGATTGTAGTAGTTGTTACTAACTTCAAATCACAGTATATCGTGATAATAAATTAGCGGAAATCTATTATCACGAAGTATATCTATAGAATATAAATAATAAGTAATAACACACCACACCTTGGTACCAATAATGATTTTTAGATTTTTTGGATATTTAATTTGGATGTAATTATTTTAACTAACAGGAAAGCTAGGGGGGAGTTGTCCCCCCCTGCCCCTCCTTGCGGGCGCTATTGCACTACACTATCTTATTATTTTTGTTTATTATATAATATAATAATATTACATATTATGTATATTGTATATGTGTATGCGAAACGACCCGTCTACGGTCGCTTGCTAATTCAGTTATCGACAGGCCCGCAGTCGATACCCAACCGCGTACCTATTATAATTTATATTAGCTGATTCGTAATGAAGTGAATTTTATTATGCACTGGTTAAGAAATAAATAGTGTCGTCAATGATTAATATATATTATTTTGTATTTTTTGGCCATCACCTTTTCCGACGCCCTACACAATAATAATTTTAGAAACACTAATGAACGTGTAATGAAAGCGTTCTTTTAGACCGAGGTTAATTTTTTAACCCAGTACCTTCAATATATTTAGATTATGCTATTTGTATAGGAGCTTTCTTAATAGGATTAAATCCGAGCTAATTGAGTTACTAAAATAATTTGCATCTAAACATTCAATCAAGTTCAATTTATAGCTGGAGTCAACATACAATATAATATACCACATATAGAAAACTCATCAGAAAACCGCGCATTTAAAACTTCTCTAATATAAAAAGGAACATTATATGTTTATATAATAATTAGTCATATGATTTTCATAAAATATATAACAACGAAGATACTCTTCACCAGTTCTTTAACATATTTCTTTAAGAAAGTTTCATTTTTTTTATTATTCTGCAGGTTCACTGTGGGATCGTTAATAAGACTAGAACGCTCTTCAAATCTTTTTACAACTTGTTGAAGAGGTTTATCACTTTTACGAACAAGTTTTTTTAAGTTACCCATGTAGTTTTTAAATTTAAAACAACTTACACTATCTAATGATCCAAAATTGTTATAATCATCAAACAAATGGATTAGTGCATGCACATTATGAGAAATAAAGTGATTTCCATACAAGCTACCAAAATCTTTGAAAAACTTAAACATTAACGATTTAGCAAATATAGCTAAATCTGTGTAGTTTGGGCTTAAATAAATAGTCATGGCTATACTTAAAGACAAAAAATGTTGATATAATTTTTTGGGCACAATTGAATGAATTGAAACGATTCCTACATATAAAAGAAATAATCTGTACTCTGTAGCTTTCCAGCGTGCCAATTTATCTAAGGCTCTAGGTTTACGAACAAAATCGCATGATATACATGTTTTAAATGATAAAAGTCCATCTGATATATTTCTAATTATTTGATTATTCAACTTTTGATCATTAATATCTCTTCTTCCATTACCAAGAGTCCCCTTACATAACATCAATATTTTTTTAACAACTCCTAAGCATACTACGTGCATATAATCTAAAGAAAAGTTTTGAACAACATCAAAATTTGGAATGCTAATAATTGTAGTTACATCTCCACGTGTGTGATATTGACGTTGAATTTTATTAATGAAATCTTCATGAGCTCTCATAGAACACTGTAAATTAGGAAAACATACACGCCTTTCTAAATATTGATCATTTACTGTACACCTAGCACAAGAAAGCCAGTATGAGTTTTAGTTTTCAACACCAACGCTCGAGCAGGCGCATCACAACAAAATGTGTCGACTATTACTTTTTTATGAAAAACAGTTAAAATATTATTGTTTAATAATTCAACATCAATACCATTTAGTACAAGTTCTCTAATCTCAACTACAAAATCATTTAAAAAACATTGCTATCATCTAGATTGTTATAACCAATATATGTCAATAGGGAATACAGTTTCATTTTCCTGTCGAATGTAACCTAATATTGGCCAAAATGCACTTCCCGAGCTTTTCATCAAAGGCAATCTATCAATTCCAATCACTAATTTAATGTTTTCACTTGAAAATTGTTTATCAATGTACTTTTGTATATTATATTATTATATCTTACACCAAAATGGTAGTATATACCGGGTGAAACTGTTTTAACTTTAACAGGATTGTTATAAGATACCCCCGAATAAGTCTTATAAAAAGTTTTACTGGAAACCGGTAAACCATTAAAGCATTTATGAGTATTCATTATTTTTAGTAAACTATCAAACGTGTTATTAGGAACATTATATTTAGTAGCTCATTGAATTAATTTGGTAGAAAACGGTTGTTGTGTCATGGCAGAACCATTGTCATCAACATTTCTCAAATTCAAATCTAGATTTGAAGTGTTTGAAACCCTGCTTAATTCAATGTGATCAGATACCTTGTCGTTGATAGTATTATATATTATTTCAGTATTAAAATTTTCAACCTCAATAGGATAATCATTACTCAATTCTAAAGGAATATTATTACCAGCATTTAACGGGGATAGGTTGTCTAAATCAACTAAATCATTTGTACCAGGCAAAACATTACTATCAGTCAGGTGTTGAATAAAATTTAATTCTTCTAATAACCTCCGACGTTTGGTAGATTTAGTCATATCATTTGATCTCAACATAGTTAGATCGATAGGTAAACTATTATGTGAATTAACACTAAAGTAAAATAATACTTACCGTAATTAAACAGCGACTGTATAGTATAGCCATCGTAAGAACGCTACTCGTTCGCGCATCCAAATGACCAAGCTCCGCAGTTTCGTACCCAAATTTCTCCCACTTTACCATCTAGTCGCCGCCGTAAATTCCCCACTCACTACGTGCGTAGCGGTGGTAGTGGCAGCGACAGTAGCGATGGCGGCGACAGTGACGGCGGCCAGCGTTCGGGAAGGTTTAGTGGTGGGAATGCGCGAGATCGGACGAATTTTGGTCGCCGCCCAGTAGCGTTCTTACGATGGCTATACTATAGTAGATATCGTAGTACAGATATAAAATATATGGAAAAAACAGCTAGAACTCAATAGAATAAATGAATAAAGAGTAGACGCAATAATCACAAACTCGTAATTAAAACAAAATGGAAAAATTATAGTCACTAGTCACTACACAGACATGAGACAATATAATAATAATAATAATAATAATAATAATAATATTAATTATTATGACTCATTATGAGCAAAATAAATGCGCGACCACAGAACACAGGGAAAACCTTATTATTAGCCATCGGTCACAACTCAAAAGCCACGACCGACAAACGGACAAAATGGGGAGGGTGACCAACGACGCTTACAGAGTCGCCGAGCCCAGGGGATCGGTCGTAATTGCGTACGTTCGACGAGCGGATCACTTCAGCTAGTTCCACGCTACGCAAGCGCATGCGCACACCAATTACTACTATCAACATCATATCTTATCAATTATACAAGTGATAAGCACTTGTCCAAAAACGGATAAAAGTGGATACGACGTTTACCCTGGTGGTGTCGATTATCGAGAAATATTACTAATACTTATAAAGTTAAAAATATTATTTATTAATTTAATATCTTATATTTACTAATTATCATTTTATTATTTTAATTATTATCATTAAGTTAATTGTCAATTTTTCATGGTTAATATACTAATAACTCACAGTCACAAATGTTTACAGAACACATTACACAATACAAAATAAATATAACATAATATAATAAATCTGTTACTCGTTATTGTGGTTTCGAAGAGGCATCATAATAAACATGATCAAAGTCGGTATGTACAACTTCGTTTGATTATCCTTCACTATTCATTGTACTCATAATTGATATTTTTTGCATTTCAGTTGGTTTTGATAGCCTGCCTTGTTTTTTTTTTATAGAGTGGAAACGTTGTTGATCAATATTTTTGTGGCTGGGCAAGTTAGTTAAATTTTAAAAAAGAGTTCCAGAGGAACTTATAGAATCAATCTGGCCATGTTGTAAGATCTTCATTAATTCATCTAACTTTTTAATACCTTTTAATTTTGCTGCATCTCTTGCAGTGCTGGCGATTCCTATTGTTGCATTAATTAAAGCTGTAAAGCGAGTCGAAATGGAAACTAATTCTTTTTGATCTACCGATGTTATTTGAGATGCTTGGACAACATGATTACTGTGCCCTTCAAAGGCTGACGTTGCTCAATATTTATTGCAATATCTTTTTTATCAGATACTCTTATGCAGGCATGCACATGCTTACAAAAGTTTCCTTTGATCTTATAATCTACACATGTACATGTAAATTTATGGACACAGATATGGCAACTAGGACATGCCATAGGACATCCTATGCAATTTTCCGAATTATTGAATGGAATAGTATAAGGATATTTATCAGGCGTTTTCGAGTGTACGAGCCATGTGTTATTGTCAATTTTTTTGATTTTACTGCTTTCAATATTAATACTTCGGAGATGACTGTGTTCTATTTGTTCCATTCGAAAAGTAGGTTTGTTTTTCATCATTCGTATAGTCCTTTCAAACATCATATCCCTTGCAAAACGCATAAGTAAGCTAATGCACTTGTCAACTCTTCTATTTTGTTTACCGTGCATATAACAATATTTTAATTTATTGTGCATTGCTTCCAGGTACATGTTTGTATTTAAAAATAGATCAAGTCTATAACAAAATGCCCAAGCTTTGGGTCGTCGGGAATAATAATTTTTAATGTAAATCCCAAAATCTTTAGTTTCGACATCATCTTCACACATTGCAAGAAAGCACTCTAAGGAATTCTGAAACTGATCAATATCTAAAATGTCCATCAATGTACGACAAGCTTAGTAAGAGATTTAATTTTATTCAGATTTTTTCTCCAACTTCTGTCTACATGCCAGTTGCAAAGTAAGTGATGTTGCGGTTTCAACATTATATTAGACCTGCCATTAATGTATGTTGTAGTATCGTCTGACAAACATAATAGGATTTGTTTCCAACTACCCTCTGAACAACAAAGAAAGACAGATCTTCTTTTTCAATATTTCTTTTCCATGTTTTAAATTCTATAAGATAAATTAAAATAGTTTTATATTATACAATATAATATGACAATATAGAAAGTTAGTTTTTAAGCATACTCTTCTCATTTTAGATTCTGAGTGAATCAAACTAGTATATACTAGCAATGGGGTTTGCTTTATTTTCCTTAAAAAAATACTTTTGGTTTGAAAAGTGGTGAGCATGCTTAAAATTTAAAAATCACCCTTTATATTATTTATATTAATAACTAATTACAAAATTAATATAAATACCATGGAGAAAGTTAAACGCTGCAGTTTCTTTTATTAATGATACATTATGTTCTTTGGAAATGTGTTCACGTACATTTGTGAGCGTTTTAAAGTCTTCTTCACATAAAGGACATTTTACCAAACGGACACTACTTCTATTGTCCACACCATGGGTTTTTTGCATATGTTTATTCCTAATGCCGATATTGCTTAACATACTATTACATAAAGAGCATTTCTCCTTTTCTTCATCGTCTTGACTTGATTCATAATTTCGTTTTCGTTTATTTAATAATATTTCCGACATTTTTATAAGACTGTAATAAACACTAATTGTACGCACAACTGCACTAGGAATAGGATAATATTATATTTGTATTTTATGTGATGAATAATCTAATAATATAATATCTTTCAAATATAAAAGTATTGGACTATCCATAAAATAAGTTGAACTTTAATCTTTTATGTTCTAGTTATTTGTTAAAGCTACTTATAGCTGAAAATGTTGTAATAAGCTAAGGAAAATTTGGATCCAGGATCAGTACGATTTGGGGAATCTGACGAGACGTTAGCCCAGGTACCGAAAGAAAAAACATCGGAGGCTCAAACTGAGGAGGATGAGGTCAACTCTGAAAAGAGTTTGATAAATCAGTTCATGGAACAGATGTTAGACAGGCTGGAGGGGTTGGAAACAACGGTCGACAAGCAGCAACTGACAATCGCTACTCTCAGCGAGAGCGTGGAACGCTTGGAGCGGGAGTTAGCTGAAGAAAAGCTCAAGTCGACCGAACGGGTGGAGCAAGCAAGTTGCTCATACCATGGAAATCCCCAACAACCATCCACCAGCGATATATCCGGAGTAAATCAGATTTTCCCGGACGAAAGTCAAAATCGTCCGGTAAAAACTCAAAGTGTGAGTTTTGAGAGCCGATGGGCAAACATACGGAGCAGATTGACCGGGGAAAACCCAAGAAACCGGAGTGTTTCCGGAGTTTCCAGTAACCGGACCGGAGTGTCCGGTGAAATGTCCAGAGTCCTCGGTTATCTGTCTGGAGTGTCTGGTGAAGTTTCCGGCAGAAGTCGTGAGGAAGCGTTACGGAGTAGTTTTTCCGGTGTAAAACGCGTGCATTTCCCGGATAGCCTGTTCATTCCTCAAAATGAGTTGAATATGCAGAATTTCAAGTGATGCGGAGCAAGATGAGTTAACACAGTAGTTGTTAATTTGTCCGGTCACATCCGAAGATTTTTCCGAGGAGTTTATTCCTTATCTACGGGAAAAGTGCAACAGGAGAAACTCAGATACGGACTCAAAGTTCGAGTTGAGAGAACGCTTTTCGGATCTACGGACCAGAGTGTTAGATTCTCCAGCCATTGCAACGGTGTCAAGGGGAAAACTACAGTAACGGATGTTCCGTTACCGGCCATAGAACTAGAGTTTGCACTCGGGGCAGTAGTAGCGCTACTGGACTCCCAAGCGGCGAGGACATACGTCAAACCGTGGGTGGCAAAGAAGTTTGGCTGGAGTTGTACTCAAGAACCGGAGATTGTCCGGATGGCGGACGGTCGGACCCGAGAAATTACGGATTTTTCCGAATTTCGGGCCCAGATAGTGGATCTGGAGGTAAGCTTCAGGGCGGCAGTGTTGACGATCTCATTGGAGATGTCTTCCTGGGCCATGATCTCCTCGTGGAGCAACAAGTCTCTTGGGACTAAAGCGGTTGCATAATCCACCTGGGGAAAGAAAGACGTGTTTCTGTGAGTCGGAGAAATCCAGCAAATCCGGTCACCGTAGGAGTGGACTTAACAACCGCAGGATTACCCGATGGAGAGTACGGTATGCGGGTCAAAGAAGTCCTGTGACAATATCCGGAGGTTTTCTCCGGAGAGGTAGGCAGAACTCGGGTGATAGAGCACCAGATCCGTCTCAAAGATCCAAATCCGGTGGCTCTAAACGCTTACGGATACTCCCGAGAGAAAAACGAGGTTATTGCCGAAATGGTGAGCGACATGGAGGAACAGGGTTTTGTTGAACCTAGCATATCTCCATAGGCTGCACCGGTGGTACTCGGAAAGAAAAAGGATGGTTCACGTAGATTTTGCGTTGACTATCGCCGTTTGAACATGCAGACGGAGTCGGACGCTTACCCGATGCCGGAACTCCATAATATGGTCCGAGGAATGGGTGGAGCGAAATTTACAGCACTATGGATTTGAAATCATGATATTGGCAAGTGGGTCTCTCACCAGAGACACGTCCACTCACGGCGTTTAGGACCCAAAGAGGATTATTCCAGTTTAGAGTAATGCCTTTTGGACTTAAAAACGCCCCCGCCACATTCTGTCGCTTGGTAAGCGAAGTCTTCCGTGGGTTAGTTTTTAAATTTTTGTTGGTTTATTTGGATGATATTGTGGTATACTCGGAGAGTCCCGATCAACATCTAAACCACTTGCAGAGAGTCTTGGAGCGACTCCAGTCTTACGGTCTGACGTGCCAACCAAATGTACATTCGGGGTGGCACAGATCAAATTCCTAGGTCACGTTGTGGACGGTGAAGGAATAGACCGGGAACCGGAGAAACTGACTGCAATTCAGGAATTACCGGTTCCAAAGACGACAAAAGACGTGTTACGGGTGTTAGGCGTTTGTGGTTGGTACAGTCAGTTCGTGCCACACTACGCCGAGATCACAGCACCACTCACGAGTCTGTTAGGAAAAGGGACCAAATGGCGTTGGTCAGAAATTGAGCAAGAGGCGTTCCGGAAGTTGAAGGAGTCTTTGGTGTCCGCACCACGGCTCTGCCCTCCTCTTCCGGGTAAGCCATTTAATCTACAGACCGACGCAAGTGAAGTCGGAGTTGGTGCTGTGCTCTTCCAGCGGGAGGAGAGAGGTGACAGGAAAATCATTTCCTACGCCAGCAAAAAACTCAATCCAGCACAGGGAAGATACTCGGCAGTCGAACGTGAATGTCTAGCCATAGTTTGGGCGGTTGACAGGTTCAGGCCGTATCTTGAGTCTGGTAAGCTTATGTTATTCACAGATAACGCGGCACTCCGATGGTCACAGCAAGCTCGCTGTACCAACAGCAAACTAACGCGATGGGCGCTACAACTCGGGGTTTTCGATTTTGAAATCTGGCACGTGCCCGGAGTAGAAAATGAAGCAGCCGACGCGCTATCCCGTGGGACCGAATACAGTGGACGAAGAATCGTTGGAGAATAATATCCACGATCCCCCAGTGATTCGGCCCGGAGTGTCCGGAGAAACTTCCGGAGTCTTCGGAGGATCCGGTGTGGGTGTCACCCAGTGTGAAGCGATCCAGCCGAAGAGGGATGACGGAAACGTCACATTGCAAGTTGTCCGAGTGTGGCAACAAAACGACCCGAGCATACGTTAGATAGTTGCTAAACTCTCCGGAGACGGTGCAAGGTTCGGTGACTTCGGTCGTCTTCGGAAGTTGTACGTCATGGTAGACAAGGCCCAGATTCTGCTACAAAGGTTTCATGACCACGATTCAGCGAACCACCCAGGGTAAGGTAACCCAGGTAAGTAATGCGTAATTACGTGCGGGCGTGCGACGTCTGTGCACGTGTAAAACCACTGAATCGCAAACCAGAAGATCGGATATGCACCCGAGTCCCAAGGCAACCTTGGGAGGTGTTGAGCATCGATCTTATAGGTCCATACTCAAGAACGCAGCTAGGTAAGACAACGATTTTGGTAGTGACTGATTGTTACAGTCGCTGGGTAGAGGCGTACCCCTTAAGAAAGGCGACGACCAAATCGATTGTGGATACATTCGACCGGGAGTTGTTCCCACGGTTCGGATACCCGAGGGCATTATTGTCAGATAATGGCCCGCAGTTTGTGTCCAAGGCAATGGGAGACGCACTAAGAAGGTGGGGAGTGGAAGGATGGACGACTCCAATATACCACCCACGTGCCAACCAGGTAGAAAGGCGAAATCAAGGGTTGAAGAAAGGGTTTCGAACCTTACTTGTTGATAAGCCTCATCATCTGTGGGATGCCTACCTGCCGCACGTGTTGTTCTCCGCAAGAAACAGAGAAAATCGAAACACCGGAGTCCGGACAGTCACTGGCAAAAATGATGTTTGGCCGGGAGATCAATTACCCCGGAGATTGGCAGCTCGAGCTGGCCGAAAGATCTCCAGACGCGGACAAAAATGATCCGGAGTTGTCCGGAGCAGTGCGGAACCCTCCGGTAGAAATCAAAGATTCTCCGGTGGTAGAGGGGGTTAATCGGTGGTTTCCGGCCCCATATACCCCCAGAATCCCCGGGAAGAAGCAATCTGTCAGTCGGGGATTGGGTATACAACAAAGCGCATCCGCAGTCAAGTGAGGAGAAGCGTTTTCACGCGGGGTTCGCCCCGAAATAGTTAGGTCCGGTTAAGTTGGGTAAACCACTAGGAACCGGAGTGTTCTTGACGGAGGGTAAACACCCTTCTAAGTTACATGTCTCGGCGATGAAGTGAGCTGTAGGACCGTCAGAAAACACTAACTAATCATACCTTCTTTCAGATGGCAGAACCCGCCAATAATACGAACCCGCCACCAAACCGCAACAACCGGCCGTCCCGCGGCATGATTGCCGCCCACGTGCAGAAGCTGCGAGCCATGGCCGAGCAGCTGCTCCGAGAAGCCAGGAGGCTTTCCTGGGATGGACCGGAGGACATGGTGAGCGGTTGGTCGGCTGAACGCGCGGCCACCGCGTCATTTGGCCGGATCCGGGCTAGCCCGACGGCGTGGGCTCTGTTCGAGCGGGGGTTCGCCGAGGGACGTCGGTCCACGAGGGCTAACACCCCACAGCCAGAAGCTGCCAGGACTCGGGCAGGACCTCCCGGGAGGGCACCACCGCGCCGAACGGAGCCGGCGTACCAACGCCACGACGTGCGGGACAGACGGGGGCGGTTCCAGCCTCAGCCCGCAGTGCAGCCGTCAGCCACGCCGCAACCGGTAACTCCGCCAGCCGACTCCCAGGAGTGACAGCTTGCCATGGTGGAGCACTGGATCGAGGCCATGGAGGTGACGTCCGAGGCCCCGCACCCCGACCCCGAGTAGTCCGGTTGCTCGGGCGCGTCTCGCGGACTCGTGGGGGAGTATGTCGCGGCCGTTATCGCAACGACCTCGGCGTCCACGAGATCGCGACCGACAACCGGCCAGCGGCGGTGGTGGCGGGCTCAGCTTTTGCCGGATCGTCGTAACAACGTGTTGTGTTGGATTACATCTGTGCAATATATAATTTATTACATATTTAACGTGTTCGTTGTCATTCTTATTACCAACCGTTCCTACACCTACAGCGATGCACATACTGTTTTAAATATTAATGTTGATAGGTAAGTTAGCTAATAGCTACTATGAGTAGGCCATATTAGTCAATCAGACATTTTTGTTTATATATGGTTGCCATGAGTCTTAAAGCTATTATAATAATAATTATTGGTTTCTATTTGTTTAAAATAGTTGTTATTGATTATAGGAGAAATAATTAGTAGAAATTAGTATTTTAAAGTAGGCTGACTGCTGAATTGGATTTATATAAGCCTACTTGATACATTGTCCGCGATCTGACGTAGTCGGATTGCCTATACTTGGGTGGCTAAATTTCACTTATACTGCAACGAGTTACATCCAAAAGGAGATAAACAATTACAATTCTTTTAGATTTGTCATTTTTTACGGGCAACGGAGTGCATGGGATCAGCTATAGTATTTAACAAAGCAAAAATATTGTGTAACCAGTACAAGAATCAAATTAATTTAATAAACAATTATTTTCACATAAACTGCATATTATTATAATTTACATTTATCACAAACAAAATTGTGTGGTTTGATTTAAACAAATTTATAATGTTTAACAGATAAATTATTATAGTATTGATATTATTATGAATACTATAATAATATATTAGTATTCATATTTCATAATCAATATAATTATAGTGAGTAAGTAACTGCAGTTACATGATAGAGTTGCATTCTCATGAGAATTTACATCCTTGGATATACTTAAATAAGAATTACAATGTAATAATATGTTGCATTCTACACGTAAGTCAGATTTTTGATATATATTTTTCCTAATATTAAATAGATACACTGCAAATATGCTGTTCGAGATAACCTTTTTAGCTATCATATAAATATTAGTGCCAATATATTGTATATGTATCTTTAACAAAATATCTAATGGATATTTTTAACAAATTAGGTTTTTTGATATATTCTTTCTGATATTAAATAGATATACTGCAAATATCTTATTCGAAATATACGTTTTTAGGTATCAAATATATATGAATTATAACATATCCTGTAGATATCATTAACAAAATATCCAATGAATGTTGTTAACAATTCAAATTTTCGATGTACTATTTCTGATATTAAATAGATATATTGTAAATATGTTATTTATGACAAATATTTTTAGATATCAAATAAACATTAATTATTAGATGTATGACAAATATCATGCAGAAAATATCTTATGTACATTCCACACAGATATTTTTTTTTTGATATCAAAATCTTGATGTAGTGAAATTATCATATAAATATAGAAAAACATATATAAATTCTGAGTTATCGTCAAAACATTGTATGTATATTAACTAACAAATATACAAAACTGTATTTAGACTGCATATCAAATATATATCAATGTATTATTTTTGCTATATGGGGTGATTACCTTAAACGCAATCTTATTAATTAAATTGTATCGTTTATATTATTTATATAGTTCATTAATTTTAGCTAACTTTTACAAAACCCATGGTCTTTACCGACTTATCTGTAGCAATAACACGCTGTACGGCCATTGGTCAATGCATAAGTGCTCCCCTTATGTGTTGGGTGGAAAGTAGGTCCCTAAAAAGGCTGAAGTCTCACAAACTGTTGAATTTATAATATTATATGAGCTTTGAATACGTTCGGCATACATTTGAATAGATAGAAAAACCACATTAAAAATTGATAGAAAATACTAAATAACATTTTAGATTCTGAGTGGAACGATGAATGTATTGATTTTACAATGATGTGTGTTTTTATATTTTTTTTAGATTCTGAGTGAAACGATGAATGTATTGATTTTACAATGATGTGTGTTTTTTTTTTATTTTATTTATTTTTTTTTTTTTTTGTGTCTTTGTACACGATAAGTAGTCAAAATAATGCTTCGATTTTCGACTTCAGTATCTTGTTCGATTGGAAAGTGAATATCGTTGGTGCATTGGGGAGGGCAAATTTTAAAATTCCCAGTACTTTTCAAAAGCGCCAAGAAAAACAAAAGAAAAATTAAGGAAAAACGGGAATTTTTACGCAAAATCTGTTTTCGAGAAAATCGATTTTGGTTTTTGGTTTAACTTTAAAACAAATGACCGCAGATACATGAAATTTTCACTGGTTGTTTATATTTGCATTTTCTATACACGATAACATTTTCAAAATATTTTGATTTATTTTGAACTGTTTAGGGACATTTTCATTTTTCATTTTTTTTAGTTTTTTTTCTAGAAATATCAATAAAATTTTATTTGTTGGTTAAAAAAACTTGCAAATTTAATAGAAGGCTCCTAGTATATTGTTTCAAAGGCAGATGAAAAATATTAAAAATCGTTAGTCACAGTTTTTTTTTATAAGCATTTAAAGTTCAAAAATTGACAAAATATGGAAAAATCACGAAAATTAGCAAATTATTTTGAGTTAAGAATTCGTAAAAATTTTTCTTTTTAAATCTAAGATTTTAAAATCTAATACAAGATTATTCATAAGATTTTCTACCTTTATCAATAAAAAAATCTCTACCGGAAAGTCAAATTAAATTTTTATGAGCGTTTGAAATTCAAATTTTTCCAACATTGGATATTCACTTGATTTCTCATGTAGTGATTTTCTTGTTTTGTTGTAATTCAAAAACGAATAACTATAGATACATGAAAATTTCACTGAATGTTCAGATTAGCATTTCCTATACACCGTACAATTTTGAAAATATTTCGACTCTTTTTGAGCTGTTTACGGACATTTTCAGTTTTCAATTTTTTTAGTTTTTTTTTTCTATTAACATCAATAAAGTTTTATCTGTTGGGCCAAAAAGTGTAAAAATGTAATACAAGGTTCCTGATATATTGTTACAGTAGCAATTGAAAAATATTAAAAATACATAGGCACAATTTTTTTTTATAAGCATTTAAAGTTTAAACATCGAATTTTGACAAAATTTATCAAAATCTCGAAAATTATCAATCATTGTAATTAATAAATTATAAAATGTTCAGTTTTTATAGCTAAAGATTGCAAATTTAAAACAAAGGTTCTCATAAATAGTTCATACTGTAACCAACAAATCTAAAAAATATATGAACA